AAAACCTGTAAGGAAAGTTCAAAAGTCGGACGAGGCCGACTATATGATACCCTTCACCCCGTTGGGCACATACAAGAGATGTTAATATTGGAGGACCATTAAGATGGAATCGGGCGAAATTAAATGTGCTATCTAGATAGATATTTGAACCCATACACATACCAATCTGAAATCAATGAAAAATTGCAGTCAAACGGGCAGACTTCGATTCTTTGGTGTACCATTTGTATGAAATCGAATAAAATTATGTATGAAAGATATGTATAAACACATGGGCCTAACTGAACAACCTTTGCATACACCATTTCTTTTTTATTATCACCCTATATTCAATTTAATACCCTCTGCCAAATTTCGTGTAAATCGAACAATAATAGGACCTTCGGTGCACCATTTACATAAAATCGAACGAATATATATAAAATACCTATATCAAAATCTGAACCAACAAACCTTTAACAAAGCTTCGCATACATCAATCTGGACACAATTCAGTACTCTGTGCAAAATTTTGCCCCAATCGGACAAATATTGGGAGTCTGGTGTATCACTCACACAAAAATCGGACGAAACTATATATGGGAGCTATATAGAAATCTGAACCGATTTTAACAACACTTCGCAGAAATCGGTCTGACCTTATTCAGTGCGCTGTGCAAAATTTTTCCCCACTGTCGGACAAATATCGAGATTTTGGTGCATCATTGACATAAAATCGGACGAAGCTATATATGGGAGCTATATCTAAATCTGAACCGATTTTAATAACACTTCGCAGACATCAGTGTGGACCTAATTCAGTAATCTGTGCAAAATTGGGAGTCTGGTCCGACAAATATTGGGAGTTTGGTGCATCATTCACAAAAAATCGGACAAACTATGTATGGGAGTTATATATAAATCTGAACCGATTCCAACAAAACTTCGCATACATAATTATGGACCTTATTCAGTGCGCTGCGCATAATTTTGTTCCAATCGGACGAATATTGGGAGTTTGGTGCATCATTCACATAAAATCGGACGAAACTATATATGGGAGCTGTATCGACATCTGAACCGATGTTAACAAAACTTCACAGACATCAATCTAGACCTAATTCAGTACTCGGTGCAAAATTTTGTCCCAATTCGACAAATATCGAGAGTTTGGTGCATCATTTACAAAAAAATCAGACGAAACTATATATGGAAGCTATATCTAAATCTGAAACGATTTTCTCCAATTTCAATAGGGTTCATCCTTGGGCCAAATAAGTGAACTGTGTCAAATTTCATCCAAATCGGATCATAAATGCAACCTGTACTTTGTTAAAAAAAAAATACATGGGCGACGGACGGACATGCGTTCTATCTCGATTCCTTTTGCCTGTTACAAACATATGCACAAAGACATAATACCCTGTACCACAGAGTGGTGAAGGGTATAAACATGGAATCAGCTACCTCAGGAAGGCTACTTGTTTGCCTATAGTTATCCTGTCTTGAATCCCAAATCATTCTACGGTCCACGTTTTTGTTCAATCTCCATATAACGGTATCTTTAATTTTTGGTTTTGGAGGATTTCGGACATATGTTTCAATCGAATTTTTGAAAAGAATTTTATTTAAAAATCCACGCCTTGTGTGGATCTTGAAAAGAAATTTATTTAAAAATCCACGCCTTGTGTGGACCTTGAAAAGAAATTTATTTAAAAATCCACGCCTTGTGTGGACTTTGAAAAGAAATTTATTTAAAAATCCACGCCTTGTGTGGACCTTGAAAAGAAATTTATTTAAAAATCCACGCCTTGTGTGGACCTTGAAAAGAAATTTATTTAAAAATCCACGCCTTGTGTGGACCTTGAAAAGGAATTTATTTAAAAATCCACGCCTTGTGTGGACCTTGAAAAGGAATTTATTTAAAAATCCACGCCTTGTGTGGACCTTGAAAAGAAATTTATTTAAAAATCCACGCCTTGTGTGGACTTTGAAAAGAAATTTATTTAAAAATCCACGCCTTGTGTGGACCTTGAAAAGAAATTTATTTAAAAATCCACGCCTTGTGTGGACCTTGAAAAGGAATTTATTTAAAAATCCACGCCTTGTGTGGACCTTGAAAAGAAGATTTATTTAAAAACCCACGCCTTGTGTGAACCTTGGAAAGAAATTTATTAAAAAAGAAGAACAAGTATTCCTCATAAATTTAACTTCATTTTTACTTGTTAGAAAATATGTGGCGCCCAATGTGGGGTCCTTAGCTTGTATTTGTTTTAGTTTATATTACGAATTTAATTTATTTATTTTTTTCCTTTCTTTCCAGAATTCCCTTCAAAAACTCTGTTTGGAAAAGGCGGAAAACGGTTTACTAAGTCAAACGTAAAGACACGAAGAGAAAGAGGTGGAAAATGCGAAAGATAAATTGCAAACAAATGAAATGAAAACAAGAGAAATGCAGGCTTAGAAAAGTGTTGCCAAGAAGAAAAAGCGAACAAAAAAACAAAAAAAAAAAAAAAAAACATAAACAAAAGCAAGTAAATTGAAAACTTCCGCATTGGTTTGAATTTCAAAGACAAAAGGAAAAATAGAAAAAAAACGCAAAACAAGAGACTAAGGTAATAGAGCCCAGCTAACATCTATGGTTACACTTGGCTGCAAGGCAACATAGACAACCAAACAAAATAAAAAAAAACGAGAAGAAGAAGAACAAAAAAAGGGAATAAGTTGTTGAAATTTAAAACCAAATAAGAATTTTTTTTTTTTTTTTTTTAAGTAGAGCAAAAAAGAATACAAATATTCCCCAAAAACATGGCCACCAAAACCATTATCAATTGCATGGACCAGACTACTACCTCCAGCCCGGTTCAGGGTATTTCAATAAAAATTGATCAAACCGCTAGTCCGACGACAACAACAACAACAACGGGAATTATAATACCCAATTATTCTGGACCAGCCTCTGCCGCCTTGGTCTCAAATGTCATTAAAATACAACATTCTTGTCAAACCAGTGACAATAATTTGAAGTCCTCCTCTTCGTCGTCGTCTTCCTCCACACCATTGAATGGCCAGAATGATAATAAATTACTAATTGATATTAACCGTAAACAGACAACAACAACCAGCTCCACAACAATCAATGGTGGTGATTGTGCTGCATCCTCGTTCCATGTTCCAACCTCATCGACATCTTCGTCTGCTGTTATCCAAGTTAAATGCACAACACCACCATCCATGGCAGCCGTTGATCTTCCATTATCTTCCAGGCAAGAAAATTTATTGGAATCTAACGGTATTGGAAAAACGAGAGAGCACTCTAATAATGATCGTGATGACGATGATCATGTTTTAAGAGAGAGTTGCATTGAAGTTGGCAAAGAGAGTAGCCAGCAGAGGAGCAATAACTTCAATGAAAGTAACCAAATGGCCATTATGACCACTACCACCACCATACACCAAGAGCCACAACAACAGCAACAACAACTAACTAGTCAACAGGTTAATGGTAACAAAGAAAACCATAATAATGGCCATTGCAGCTTAAACCAGACCAACTACCACAACCAGTCGTTGAATGGCCAAGAAAACCAAGCCAATGATGATGATGAGTCAAACAACTCCAAACACGATCATGATGATGACAATCATCATCATCATGATGATCATAAAGAAAATAATCATCATAATGATGATGATGATGATTGTGGTGGTTTGAAATTTGACGCTGCTGGTATTGGTAAGAGAGGAGATAGCTGCTTAGACGATATTACTGCTAGTCATCATGATGGTGGTAAACGCTGGCCGGCCAAAGAAAACTCTAACAGTCTATTTACGAAAGCGGATACGGCCACAACTCCACAGCTCTCCTCTAAGCAAACGACAGCAAAAACAACATCGGTGATTATTGGTGAAAATCTATATTGGAAAAAAGAGAAAAATACTCAAGATTTTTGTGAACGTGAAAATCGTGAAAACCCTGCCGCCGCACATGTTGTGAAAATCCAAATTAATTCCCCCAATAAGAAATTCCATTCCCCTCCCCATAACGCGGAAAAACAAATTTCCATTGTGAAAATTGAAAACGAAGAAGAAGAAAATTTGGAAAATCAGCATAAAGAAAGTGAAGTGTTTACAAGTGCAGTTATTGAAAACACAAAAGAACAAGAAACAACAGCAACAACAAAAGAAATAAAAATTGAAAACAAAAAAGCAAACGAAAAGGAAAATCAAGAAAATTTTGGAAAATCATTGAAAAGTGAATTACATTTGAATTTAGAGAAAATGGTGCAAAAATCACAAAACAACACCCAACTGATGGTAAGCAGCAACAGCAGTGGGGCCCCCTCGAGTAGCCACACCATTTCGACCATGGCCTCCAACAATGAATTAAATGTCAGCAATCCCAGCTATCTCTATTACACCACCATGTCGAGTGGACAATTTTCACCCTGTGACACACTGGACAGTGGCACGGGCAGTGATTTGGAATCACAAAATCACACTCCGCACACACCCACTGCCCATTTGCTGCTACCACCATCTTCATCGTCGTCATCATCGTCCAATTCCAAAACCAACTCCAATGGCCTGGAAATGCATTTGAAAACCACCAAAGTTCGCCTATCCCAAAACGGTGGCAACAAGGAGCAACGTAACTGCAACTCTTCATCCTACACGGATTCCGAGGAAAGTGAGGCCTCATCGCTCAGTTGTGATTCGCTGCATTCCAATGAATTTATGCGCCAGTCTTCACAGTCGCCCATACAAAATAAAATTTCCAATGGCTCGAGGAAAATTCTCGGGTCTTTCTTACCCGATTCCCTGCTAAGAGATATTAAAAATTTGAAATTAAATCAAACCGAATATGAGGCCGAAAATGAAAACGAAGAAGATGAAGATCACATTGAACAGAGAATCAAGGCCCACAAACAGCGTAACAATGAATCATCATACGAACCGATTAGTTCCCAGGATTATATGATGGCACAAAATGACTATGTTCAGACACGTAATACGGAAAATTCTGCAGCGAATGCGAATTCAAATTCTTCCAAACGTGCCTCGTTGCCCTCCAAAACCTTTGTACTCAATCAAGAGGATGGCACCTTTATTGACATGAAAATGAATTCGATGCCCCGAAAATATGAGGCTGACAAATACTACAATTTCCATGTTAATGAACATGAAAATTTCCGCAGTTTTGGCAACAACAACAGCAATGGGGGCAATAATGGTTTTTCGGAATCTGGCAATGAATCGTTATCGGAATATGACAGCCGCAGCAGTTTGAGTGATGATGTCTTTGCCGGTTACAAGGATTTACGTTGTGGCTCGGCCACCTCAACAATACGCTCGAACAAGGGCACAGTGCGTGGTGTCAAGAATCGTGTGCGCAATGGAATAGCCACATTCTTGCAGCTGCAGCAACCAAATATGAAGGTGAGTTGAAGAGAAAAAAAAATAGGGTTTGAGTGGAAAAAAAATGATAAAGTAATAAAAAAAGTAGTTAAGTTACGGACCGGAAGGAACTTTTTATACCCTTTACCATTTCAAAATATCGTAAATCGATCGGATTTTTGTATGTGTTAGTTATGTTATAGAAAAATTATTTTTAATAAATCCAGGCTTATGACTACTTCGAAAAAATAATTTGTAATAAATCTACTCCTAAGACTACTAAGAAAAAATTATTTTTAATATCTTCAAGCCTGAGACTACTAAGAACAAATTATTTTTGATAAATCCAAGCGTGGGACTACTAGGAAAAAATTATTTTTAATAAATCCAAGCCTGGGACTACAGGGAGAAAAATATTTTTAATAAGTATACCCCAAGGACTACTAGAAAAAAAAATTATTTTTAATAAATACAAGCCTGGCACTACAAGAAAAAAATTATTCTTAATAAATCCACGCCTAGGACTCCTAGGAAAAAATATTTTTGATATATCCAAGCCTGGGATTACTAGAAAAAAAAATATTTTTAATAAATACAAGCCTGGCACTACAAGAAAAAAATTATTTTTAATAAATCTACGCCTGGGACTGCCAGGAAAAATTTTTTTTCAATAAATCCATGCCTGGGACTATTTAGAAAAATATATTTTTAATAACCTGGCACTACTAAGAAAAAAAATATTTTTAATAACTCCACGTCTAGGACTACAAAGAAAAAATTATTTTTAATAACTCCACGCCTGGGACTACTAGGAAAAAATTATTTTTAATAAATCCACACCTGGGACTACTAGAAAAAAATATTTTTAATAAATCCACGCCTAGGACTACAACGAAAAAAAATATTTTTAATAAATCCAAGCCTGGGACTACACGAAAAAATTATTTTTAATAAATCCAGGCCTAGGACTACTTGGAAAAAATTATTTTTAATAAATCCAGGCCTAGGACTACTAGGAAAAAATTATTTTTAATAAATCCACGCCTAGGACTACTAGGAAAAAATTATTTTTAATAAATCCAAGCCTGGGACTACTAGTAAAAAAAATATTTTTAATAAATTTTTTACTAGAAAAAATTATTTTTAATAAATCCACTCCTAGGACTACAACGAAAAAATTATTTTTAATAAATCCAAGCCTGGGACTACAAAGAAAAAATTATTTTTAATAAATCCACGCCTAGGACTACAACGAAAAAATTATTTTTAATAAATCCAGGCCTAGGACTACAACGAAAAAATTATTTTTAATAAATCTAGGCCTAGGACTACTTGGAAAAAATAATTTGTAATAAATCCAAGCCTGGGACTACAAGAAAAAAATATTTTTAATAAATCCACGCCTAAGACTACTAGGAAAAAATTATTTTTAATAAATTCACATCCGGGACTACTAGGAAAAAATTATTTTTAAAATCTCCACGCCTAGGACTACTAAGAAAAAAATATTTTTAATAAATCCTCGTCTAGGACTACTAGGAACAAAATATTTTTAATACCTGCACGCCTAGGACTACTAGGAAAAACATATTTTTAATACCTCCACGCCTAGGACTACTAGGAAAAAAATATTTTTAATAAATCCACTCCTGGGACTACAAGAAAAAAATTATTATCAAAAAATCCACGCCTAGGACTACTAGGAAAAAATTATTTTTAATAAATCCACGCCTGGAGCGACTAGGAAAAAATTATTTTTAATAAATCCACACCTGGGACTACTAGAAAAAATGCATTTTAATAAATCCACGCCTTATTTTTGATCATTTTTGTTAAGGAGATTTTCTACCGAAAGCGAACGATTTGCAATCCAATGAGTACATGAAATATTATATCAAAGCCATTTCTGAATAAACGAAAAATTTCATCACTTTTGTGTTGTTTACACTTTACTTTGACCCCGGTGGCCTGGTTTGTTTTTAATGAGCTAACAATGATAATGTGATGATCAATTCACAAGAAGCTATTATAGCTGAAGTTTTCAAAGTCAAAACTAATTATGCTAACATTAATCAATACGCAGTTAAAAATAACAAAAGAAGATTTTCGATATTATTTTGAAAAAAAAATTTGGTTTTTTTTCGAGCAAATTTGAGATAAACTAACAAATGCCATTGCAGATGAGGAACACACTTTTTTATTTATTTTTTTTTTCAATTCTAATACGTGTTAGCTTTAAGATCTGTGACAAATATTCAATATTATTCTAAATAATATTTTTGTAAACAATTTTATAAACAGTTATGGTATTTAGCCTTTTAAAATTGAGAGATCCCAGTACTCAGCTCTTTCATATCAAACATAGAAATATCTTTGAATTTAAACAACCCTCAAAAAATTTTGCGGAAATGTAATGTAATAACGAACCTCGATTTGCCAATACACCATGCCAACCATGTTGGTGAGAGTTTCGTAGGTTGTTTAGTATGTCTGACTTTCTTTGCAGATGACTCAACAAAACAAAAAATATTTGTATGGTATTACCCATAGGTTACAACCTATTATTTTGTTTGATGTTTAATGGAATATAGAGCGATTGTAATTGATACTTCAAACCGAAACGGCTAACGTGAGAAACAAAGGGTCGAAATAACAAAAGGGGTTACTGCAGCTTTGTACAAAAATACAGCTGAAAAAGAGGTCGAATAAGCCAATATTAGAACATTATTGAGAGCAGCTCCCTACCCATAATTAAGCTGGATAATGAAGTGCACATTTTTAAAATACTTATAAACATAAAACGTGTACTGATAGAGGAGAATTTGCCACAAGTAAAGTTTTTGACTCCTTAAGAATTTTTTTAAAGGTCTATAACAGAGTTTGATTTTTTAAGACATTTGTTTAAGGGAACCTCCCCTTCTCGATTTTAAATTTTCAAGGTTTTCATTTGGTTGGTAAATGAATACCAAGGCATGTTAAGGTTTGTAACTTTACACATACATATTTGAAGATTTAAAAGATATGAAAACTAATTTGCAAAATTTATTTGTTGCTGTTTTGTTGTTGTCTTTGGTGATTAAAGAAAAGTCCTCAAAGTTCTCCTCACTGGAACATCCGAATCCGGGAATTCCAAGGATGTTAGAAAGAATACATGTCTGGCTCTCGCATGAACTAAGATTATTGACTTCGCTTAAAAATTAACAAAATGGCGGACCTTTTTTGGAAATTCCCCTATTTTTGATCACAAACTAAGTTAAAAAAATAAGGAAGTTCTTCGCCGATCGGCTTTATCCTACGATTACACTCCCAGAGAAACGTATTAAAATTTCGTAAAACACTGCTTCAGGTTAAATGCATTTAAAATTTAACGTCAGAATTTTTAAGATTTTCACTTGAGGGGAATCCCCTTAAGGACCAACAAAAGGCGTGGATTTTTAAGAATACTTTTTTTAAGTTAACACAAATGTTTTAAATACGTTTTTTTGTTTAAGGACTATCTGAAGGCTTCGATTTTTTAAATATTATGTTTTTTGCCAATGCGAACGTGGCCTTTTAAAGAATATTTGTTCAAAGGTCCGTCAGCTTACATAGGAGCATACGTATTCATATATTATCTAGCAACCAAATACCACACTAGAGTGCTGAAATATAGCGCTCATCGCTTTGAAATTTTCCATGAGGATCCAGCTATGGTCGAGGACAACGCCTATATTTTCGGTGATGATCAGATAATAATATTGGGATGTGTTTTTTGTATAGGCCACAATTGAAAGTCGAACATCACCTGGAATCTGGACAAATAATTAGAAGAGCTGTACTGAATATTAGTAATATTTCTTGATTTCTAGTCGGTCAAGAGGGTACAAATATCGCGAAATATTGCCCAAGAATATAGTACCATAGAACGTTAGGTTTTTGGTGAAACTTGTGTAGGGTATCATATGGTTGGCCCCATCCGACTATATTGATCCGCTCACTGCTTTAAGAATACTTTTTGAGGAAAACCTAAGATCTGAAGGATACAGTTGAGCATCTCTTTTGTAACGGCACATCAATAAGTTAATATATACTTCAAGTTCTGTATATATTCCTCATTACTACTCAACCTTGAGACTATCCGAATAACATGAAAATTATGATTTTTTACACCCAAATTATGGAGGGTATATTAAGATCGTTAAATTATGAGTCTTCAAAATTAAGTATCGCCTGTTGCTTTCACTCTCAAGATGTTTGGTAAAATGTGACTTAACATGACCTGTCATATGAAGCTACCACCTAACGATATATATATATATATATATATATATATTTTTTTTTTTCAATTCAAAACTATATTTTTTAACCTCGCAAAAAATGCAATATGGGCTTGAAAACCCCGAAACTTCTTGACTTTATATAACGAAGCGGTTTCAATTTGACATATCGGGTTTGCGGCGGATAAACCCCAAATTTTCAACATTACAGTACAGCCAAATTTTCGCCCTTATTTCCTCACTTTAATAGATTTAATTTGCAATATTGTATACTTAGTGGGTGGAATACCTCCTCACAAAAACTTATACCATGTATGACCATAATTTTATATAAGATATAGGACCAGAATGAAAATTGTGTTCTTTCTCTGTATGGTTGTATATTTTCAATTACGAGTTATAAAAGAAGGGAGACTGATAATTTGAATTTTTGTTAGGGAGACGTACTGCCGAATCAATATTTCAAATTTCAAAAACCCCAAAATACGGTAAATAATTTTGTATTTTATGGATGAACGATATGCCCTCGATGGATAAGAGTCCATCATTTTATCAAAATTACTCCAATTTTTAGGAAAGCCCCCATATAACTGTAACTGAAAATGTCGGTATTTTGGGCACGTTTTCGACCGAATTGGTTGTCAATATTATATTTTCAACCAATTGGGTTGTAATTTGGTATTTGGACACTTTTGTCAACCATGTTGGCTCGAAGTTGATATGTAGTGCCAAATGTTCCTATTAAAAATTATCAATATCTATCTATGTTTTCCACACCACAAAATCTTGTCATATCCAAATTTGAATCGATTTAATAACACCTTATTTTCAGTTCACAACGCAGTTCAATTGGACAGAAGCGGGGACATTCGTGGCCCATATATATATAGAATCGGACGAACATTTATATGAGAGCTATATGTTAATTTGAACCGATTTTAACGACACTTTAGCACACATCAATCTATACTCAATTGAATTCGACATGCAAATTTTCGTATAAATCAAAAACATAGACTCGTCTCAAAAAACAAAATTTTATCTCAATCGGTCAAATATTGGAAATTTGGTGCACCTTTACCAAAAATCGGGTGAAAATATATATCGGTGCTATATCTAAATCAGAATCGATTTCAATGAAACTTAATGCACATCATTCTTGAACAGACCATTTACATAAAATCGGGCGATCTTAATCTGAACCGATTTCCAAATTTTCATACTTAACACAATTTATTGTACAACCTATACGATACGCTCTACAAAATTTCGTCTTAATCGGATAAAACATTGGAGTTTAACGCACATTATTCTAGACATAATATAATATGCTGTGCAAAATTTAGTGGAAATCGAAAAGACGTAGTTTCTTTGGTGTACCATACATAAAACATAAAATCGGACGAAATTATATGTGAGAGTCATATAGAAATCTGAACCCATTTTAATTCGTCCTATATATCATTGCAGTTGTGCAAAATTTCGTCTCTATCGGAAAATCCGTGGGAGTTTGTTGCACCATTTACGTAATCTCAAGCTAAAATATATATGGGAGCTATATGTATAAATCTAAACCGATTTAAACGAAACTTAACGGACTCGAAAAGACACATGATCTTAGATGTACCATTTAAATTTGAAACGATTTTCTTCCGGGTTCGTTCTTGGGCATGCGTAAATAAGCTCAACCAGTGAGCGGAGCAGTATAGTCTAACGGGGCCGACTAACACGAAAACTAACTTTCTGCGGTTCTATATTCTGAGCCTGGGCAATATTTCGCGATATTTGCACTCTATTGGACGTTTATAGATCAACAGCCCTACTTTTTAACCCTGGCATATTTTTCAAATCTCCTTTTTTCCGACGGGAATATTTATACCATAAAAACAAAATTTTGCTCACTTTAGGTTTTGGTTGATTTGACTCTCGCAATATTTACCGATCATCATCTAAACAGTCATTCTAAGTATTTGGTCAGAGCCCCATCACCGTGTAAAATATGTGATGTTGTGGATATAATAATGGCCTTTAGAGCGATTAGAAAATCGGACAAAAATGAAGTGGTTCATTGCTTCCCCTAAATATCATCTCAACATCATCGAAAATTATAGGAACTTTTCATGTGAAATTTCAAAGCGATCAGCGCGACATTTCCGCCCTCTAGTAGGGTAATAGTAATATTAAGTAATATCATAGCAGATAGACACATGCAAATAATTTAGTAGAACCTCTATATCACTATAATTGGTATCAATTTAATGGCCAACCACTCATACTGGATATACTATCAACTTCTAGGGTCTATGTCCTTCAGGTGTAAAAATATATGCCACAGAACACAAATTTTGAAATTTTGTCACACAAAAGTCAGGGGATATTTGACCCGATAAATATTGATCGATCTTTTTCCAAACAGTCATGCTTATTCTTTACCAGATGACCTTCTCCACGCAAAATTTCGTGATGTTCGGGCCATAATTGTGGCCTCTAGAGCGACCAGCGTTTTTGATCCATGTCATGTCCTAAATATTAATCGTTCATTACCAAAAACAATAGGGGTCTTCTTTGGCCGAACCCATCCTACATGCAAAATTTCTTGACGATTGCTCCATAACTGCGACCTGTATCGTGTTTAAAAAATTAGAATGAACAGACGGACAGACGAACGCACATGTCTGGATCGACTCTGCTAGTCGAGATATGACGATCGGTATACTTAAAGTGGGTCTAGGACACTAATGCACAAAATAGTACGATAGCGGTGATTGCTAAACAAGTATTCTCTTTTTGTCACTTTTCGTCAGTCATTTTTGATGATTAGCTCTCAGTTACGCTCTCACACACTTTCTCTCAATTTAGTTCTGTTCAACTCTGGTCTAGGACCAATATTTCGCGTCGTTACACACTCTTGGGCTGCACAAAGCTTTAATACCCTGACAATATATATATATAAAAAGTGATTCTATGTATATCCTCAAAATTTCCTATTCCGATTTGCTTTTGTATGTTAGGTACATATACACAAAGGTATAATATACTGCACAACAGGGTCGTTTTTGAGTGTAAAAAGTTTTATAGAAGATAGAAAACGAGATGAAATTTTCTTTTCTGTTTTTCTCCGTAGCCATACGCATATCTGTTCCAAATGCAAGTCCCCAATTTTAAAAACAAAAAAATCGACTCAATTCAATTCAAATTCATGGCATTGACCATGGCCCTTCAAAATCATCAACAGTTTATAAAACAATGTCAAGTAGTCAATTAACGAAACTTATTACCTTCTTTATTGGCACAAGCTCTCAATGAAGCGGCATGAAGAGGGGGTGATTTGGCATAGAAAAAAAGTTTCCGCATTAGTTGGTGGCTCTTCTTATATTGGCCAGGCTGGCATTCACCAACTAAAAGAAGAAAATAACAATTAAATTGAAAAAAAAATTAAATAAAAGAAACTTGGCAAATGAATTCAATTTGAAAAAAAAAATGAAGAAAAAATTTCAAATTAAACAAAATTCCCAAACCTAAAAAAAACACTTAAGGAACTAAAAAATGCAAAATAGTAGTTGGTTAAAACTTTTGAATTGAATTTTTGTGAAGTAATAAAATTAAAACTACATTTTTTCGTTTTCTGTTAAATGGAAATTGCGTGAAACTTTTGTGTGATTATGGAAACAACAACAACAGCAACTACAAACATTTTTAGTATGGATCAGCTGTTGGCTATGCATTACAAAAACAAAATAAAAAAAACTACAACAACAATGATTACTAAAAATTCCATATGGAATTTGGTTAGACTTTCATTTTCAATTCTCTTCGATCATTAGTTGGGGCAGCTAATTAAAATATCAATTTAAAAAAAAAAAAAACTGTGAGTCCCACAC